CGCATATGGCACTGTCAGCTTGAAAGAAACACACTGGAGGGACCAGCAGTTAGCGTAATGGCTATGTCGCTGGACTCCCATGCAGTCAACCGTGTTTTGAGTCCCCGACCCGGTGGCTTAAAACTCAACACCGGGCACATGTGCGTGCGTGCCCAGGATCCGAGAGGAGAATGGAGGAGAAGAGATTGCGGCGTGGCCACCCCCCCTGGGGAGTGATTTCTCACTTTCTGTCTCTCTGTCTCTGTCTGTCTGGTGAGTGCATGTGCCCTATAGCAAAAACTTTTCCAAAAACAAAAAAACAAAAGACCACACTGGACATGTGTGTGTGTACCAAAAATCCTGCCGGGAGGGGGGAGTGGGGGCAAAGGGGATTGTGGTGTGACCACATGCCGTTGTAGAGTGCTCTCTGTCTGTCTGTCAGAGAGAGCTCTGGCAAGCACACATGCCCGCTGGCAAAAGTATATAAAAACAAAGTCAGATGGTTTCTCTCTCCTCCCAGTCTGCACTGGCCCCCATCTTACAGTGGCCCGGGAGGATCCGAGCTGGGCCTCCACTCTGCTCGCTGACCCGTCTCTGCACCACCCTGCTCAGGGTGCAGCAGCCCTCCTTGCTGGTCCCCAGCGCCAGGTACATCAGCTTTGGGGCCTTCGTTCTTGCTGCCCCTGCCACGTGTGGAGTCCCTTAACCTCAGACGTCCTTGTGACCCTTTTCCTTTCTCGCACCTTGAAGTAGAATGGATGTTCTCGAGGGCACAGATCAAAGCTGCTTTTTGTTCCCTGAGTCTCAGTGACTAACGTAGTGCCTGCCTGTGGCCAGGGCTCAGTGAGCATTTGTAGGGCAAATGCATTGTCATTTAATTACTCCCACGCCAGGACGGGTGTTCTCTGCCAACTGGGGGTGCAGGCTAGTTGGGGTGAAGCATGAGCGAGTACAAATGGCTGTATCCCCAGGTTAGCGCAGTGATACGCATGGGCGCATTGGGGGGGGGCACCAAGGAGGTGCTGGAGTGATTCAGAGGGGCAAGGACTAGGGAGAACCAGGAGGGCTTCAGAGAGGAGTCGCTATCCCAGCTGCGTCTACATTTATCTGAATGTGAACCAAGCCCTGGAGATTGTAGGGGGTGTATGTACCTGTGACATCCAGGCTGTTAAAGTAGTTTCACCTTCTTTCTGTTTTTTTTTTTTTTTAAGAATTTTTTTTTTTTTACCTTTATTCA